ACAGTATAATAATAGGTAACAGTGTCCAACAATAAAATTTATACCTTAATTTAAGGTTCTGTTCGCCTAATACAAAGGATTTTTTGAAATAATATTAGGGTCAGCTCAAGAAGTCAGATACCTTCTCACGTGCTATGTTATCCTGATACGAATTTCAAAATTATTGTATCGCAAGAAATTGTAAGATGCAGTAAAATACTTTCTTACGTATTATGTCAGTCTGATACTAATACCTCTTCTAAAATCACTTAAACTTTGTAAGGTGCGTAATTTATTACCTCTTCTTCAGATACAAGCAAGATAACTTGTTTACAGAATCCCTTTAAAGTATTATGTTGCTCTGTTACAAATTACACTTGTTAATTGTGTCAGGATCATAAATATTCAAAAACTATTATGTTCTCTTGATACGTTCTTTTCTATTATGTTCCCATGACACAATTCTCCTTTTCATAAGATTTTGTATCAGCATCACAGAAGGGGAAAGAAGTGTAAGTTTTATTGACAGATAAATTCTCACTCCTGTGGAATACTGTTTGTGTCAGGATCACATAAACGAAAGGAAGTGTAACATTTATTTATAGATGTCTTGTTTTTTTTAAGAAGTAATTAAATGCCTCCGATTGACGATACAAATTCTTCTTTGAAACTTGACGTCTGTCATGTTCTCCTGGCTCTCCTGGTGTATCGGGCGCATGACGACCTCTTTGCGCGTTATATTCTCTTGATACAAGATTGGTAAACATTTAAGGCAAAGTAAAACGTTAGTTTTGTTCTGCTGATAGAAAAATTTACTGCGTGTATTAGGAGCAGAAGCACCTCCTCGCGTATTATACTCTCCTTATACAAAATTGATCAAAATTTAAGCCAAAGCAAAACGTTGACATTTTGCGAACTGATATTCCATGTATTAGTAGCAGGAGAAATATGATGGAAAATCCTCTTCGTCGATCATGTTGTCCTGATAGCTCATTGGCTACGCTTGTCCAAGTCCAAAACACATCTGACTCCTTCCATCCGCCATCTCTTGGTATAATTCCTTTATTTTGTTCCTTAATTGTTTCCTCCTCCATTATTTTTCATACTTTTTCCGTAACACGCCATTTTTATCAATCCTGCTCCACTGAGATAGAGAGGTCTTTAAAAAATGCCTGAACGCTCAAAAACGGTTCTTTGAATGTTTCAAAATTCAGCCTAAAAACGCGAATGGAAGGCTATGTGCAGATAGAGAATTAACAGCGCTTTGAAAGGTCGATAGGGTTCTGGAACGCCTTGGGTAATTAGAAAACTTCCCATAGCCTCTTTTACATCATTTTCTGAGCTGTGTGTCAAACACCCTAGTAGAGGCTCAACATTGTAACTTGAATGGTATTTGGAGACTTTAGAAGGATCTGATTGCTTCCCTTTTGAGGTTTTCCTAAAACTGTTAACTCTAGGAAGAGATAAAAGATCTCAAACGGCCTGGTAGACGTTCAAAAATCGTAACTTGAAAGTCACTGGGAGACTTTTGAGGGATTTCATTGCTCTTAGAAGACATCCCTGCACATTGGATACGTTTTTGACTGACTTTTGAGGTTTTCCTAAACCTGTTACCTCCAGGAAGAAATAAAAGATCTGGAAAATGTATCAAATGTCTCTTAGAAAGCCTTCCTGACCAGTTGATGCATTTTTTGAGTAACTTTTGAGGGTTTCCTGTGACTGTTAACTCTAGAAAGAGATAAAAGATCTCAATCGTCCTGGTAGATGTTCAAAAATTGTAACTTGAAAGTCACTGGGAGACTTTGGAGGGATTTGATTGCTCTTAGAAGACATCCCTGCACATTGGATACGTTTTTGACTGACTTTTGAGGTTTTCCTAAACCTGTTACCTCCAGGAAGAAATAAAAGATCAGGAAAATGTGTCAAATGCCCCCTTAGAAGGCATTCCTGAATAGTTGATGCGTTTTTTGAGTGACTTTTGAGGGTGTCCTATAACTGTTAACTCTGGAATGAGATAAAAGATCTCAAACGCCCTGGTAGACGTTCAAAAATTGTAACTTGAAAGGCATTGGGAGACTTTGGAGGGATTTGATTGCTCTTAGAAGACATCCCTGAATATTGGATTGGTTTTTGAGTGACTTTTGAGGTTTTCCTATGACTGTTAACTCTAGAAAGAGATAAAAGATCTCAAACGGCCTGGTAGACGTTCCAAAATCGTAACTTGAAAGGCATTGGGAGACTTTGGAAGGATTTGATTGCTCTTAGAAGGCTTCCCTGAATATTGGATGCGTTTTTGAGTGACTTTTGAGGTTTTCCTAAACCTGATAACTCCAGGAAGAAATAAAAGATCAGGAAACTGTGTCAAATGCTATCTTAGAAGGCCTTACTGACTAGTTGATGCGTTTTTTGAGTAACTTTTGAGGGTTTCCTGTAACTGTTAAATCTAGAAAGAGATAAAAGATCTCAAACGCCCTGGTAGACGTTCAAAAATTGTAACTTGAAAGGCATTGGGAGACTTTGGGGGGATTTGATTCCTCTTAAAAGACATCCCTGAATATTGAATGCGTTTTTGAGTGACTTTTGGGGTTTTCCTAAACCTGTTAACTCCAGGAAGGAATAAAACATCTGGAAACTGTGTCAAATGCCCTCTTAGAAGGCGTTCCTGACTAGTTGATGCGTTTTTTGAGTATCTTTTGAGAGTTTCCTATGACTGTTAACTCTAGAAAGAGATAAAAGATTTCAAACGGCCTGGTAGACTTTCAAAAATCGTAACTTGAAAGGCATTGGGAGACTTTTGAGGGATTTGATTGCTCTTAGAAGACATCCCTGCACATTGGATACGTTTTTGACTGACTTTTGAGGTTTTCCTAAACCTGTTACCTCCAGGAAGAAATAAAAGATCTGGAAAATGTATCAAATGTCCTCTTAGAAAGCCTTCCTGACCAGTTGATGCATTTTTTGAGTAACTTTTGAGGGTTTCCTGTGACTGTTAACTCTAGAAAGAGATAAAAGATCTCAATCGTCCTGGTAGATGTTCAAAAATTGTAACTTGAAAGTCACTGGGAGACTTTTGAGGGATTTCATTGCTCTTAGAAGACATCCCTGCACATTGGATACGTTTTTGACTGACTTTTGAGGTTTTCCTAAACCTGTTACCTCCAGGAAGAAATAAAAGATCTGGAAAATGTATCAAATGTCCTCTTAGAAAGCCTTCCTGACCAGTTGATGCATTTTTTGAGTAACTTTTGAGGGTTTCCTGTGACTGTTAACTCTAGAAAGAGATAAAAGATCTCAATCGTCCTGGTAGATGTTCAAAAATTGTAACTTGAAAGTCACTGGGAGACTTTTGAGGGATTTCATTGCTCTTAGAAGACATCCCTGCATATTGGATTCGACTGACTTTTGAGGTTTTCCTAAACCTGTTACCTCCAGGAAGAAATAAAAGATCTGGAAACTGTGTCAAATGCCCTCTTAGAAGGCCTTCCTGACTAGTTGATGCGTTTTTTGTTTCGAGGGTGTCTTACTGTTAACTCTGGAATGAGATAAAAGATCTCAAACGCCCTGGTAGACGTTCAAAAATCGTAACTTGAAAGGCATTGGGAGACTTTGGAGGGATTTGATTGCTCTTAGAAGACAGCCCTGATTGTTGGATGCGTTTTTGAGTAACGTTTGAGGTTTTTTTTAATCTGTTAAAACTAGGAAGAGACAAAATATCTGGAAAGTGTGTCAAATGCCCTGGTAGACTCGCAATTTGAAAGGCATTGCAAGACTTTGGAAGGATCTGATTGCCCTTAGAAGGATTCTTTGAACGTTGGATGCGTTTTTGAGGAACTTTTGAGCTTTTCCTAAAAGTCTAGAAAGAGATAAAAGCTTTAGAAAGTGTGTCAAATGCCCTGTAGACGCTTAAAAATCGCCACACAGACGTATATTTTGAGGGCTTTTAGAACGCCAATATCAATTCATGGAATTTCTTTTCTGGGACGGTATTCCATACTCCCCAAACCCCTCGGGTTTAGACTCTCCCTCAAATTGATAAACCGTTAGTATTTTTGTGATCATTTCCCAAGGAGGGCCAAAAAAGGTTCGATAGCCCTCCCTGAAAAATGATCATAAAGGTACTAACGGTTTATCAATCTGGAAAGGGAGTAGGACCAGGGGGTCTGGCGGGGGGGCACAAACAGGTATACTCTCCTGCGAGGAAGAGGGAATTTGGGAGTTATGGTATACCTTTCAGGCAAAAAAAGCTTGACGAACCTCCTTGAAAAATAATCGCAAAAGTACTAAGGTTTGACAATTTGGGTGAGAGTCAAAAACCGGGGGGGTCTGGGTGGTATGGAATACCGAAAACATTCCAGGAAAGATATATTCCATGAATTGTTATTAGAGTTTCGACAGTTCTTCCTTCTTGGAAAGTATACCGGTGTGTGGCTAAGGGGTAGGTACCCTCCAGACCCCGCGGTCTTAGACTCTTCTCAGTTCGTTAAACCGTTAGTACTTTGGTGATCACTTTTGAAGGAGGACCATCGAAGTTTCATTACTTCAGGTACAAAAATCTCGAATGCCCTCTATGAAAAATGATCACAAAGGTACTTAGGTTTATCAATTTGGGGGAGAGTCTAAGATTGAGGGGTATTCCATATCCCATAGGTATGTCTTTGTAGGTTGCAAGGTGATGGAGTCTGCTTGAGCTTGTGGTGAGGAAATTCCAAATTATCGTTTCTTTCTTAATTAAACCGCACTTATCGTATGTTATTGTCGACGGTATCAATGCAAAAAGTTCATTGTTTGAACTCTCGGACGTAAAAATAGAGCTTGCGATGCAAATTTCTGCATCCATCAGAGATATGAGCCTTCGTTGGTTACCATTATCAATAACACGGTTTAGCAATAAGCGAACTGCGTTTTCGAGATCATCGAGAGTGAGGCGGAATTTTTGAGAGGTTCAAGGGGTTAAGGTTAAAAGATGCAGTTGCACTTCGATAGCAATTAAAAAAATAATAATTTTGATTTGTTTTTTCCAGATCCAAGACTGAGGCATAGTTGGCGGGGGCACGATATCTTACACTTTACCTTCTCGGATAACCTCCTCAAGTACTACGTGGGCAACGCGACCCTTTACGTGTACGTTAAGGGCGTCGAGCGGAGGCCGCTGCCGAGCTTTTACGTGGAAGTTTTTAAGGTGTACAAAGGTCCCGACCATTCCGACACTCCGGGCATGGTGAAGATCGCGTCGAGAAGGGTGACGCAACCCTTGGGCCGCGGGGAGTGGGTCAAAATTGACGTTACCGTCATGGTATCGGAGTGGTTTAAAAGTCCGAGAGACAATTACGGTTTTATACTTAACGGTACAGTTAACGGTCGAAAAGTTATTGTGACTGATAGTTCGCACGATGGTGCAAGTAAGGTTAGTATTTTTGAGCTTTTTTTCTTTGTATGACCTTGTTAAAAAATGATAAAGTAATAACACTTGCCTCAATTTATGAGCTTTCACCATAGATTGGTTCAAGGGGTGGGCCAATGGAATGCAGACATCTCAATTTTTTGGATGGCCTCCATAAATTAGGTTTTTCACAGAAGTTGCCCACCCTCATTTAAAAGGAGATACATTCCGAAAGTGTCAATATTCCCTAGGATCACTTAAATTTCAAACTTACCCCTGAAATTAAGATTTCGCGCTCTTTCGATTTGACCCCAATCCCAAGTATGGCCTCTATGGGTTTATGGAGCAGGATCGCACAGGTAAATCAAAACCTAAGGCCCATTGTGTCTACCGTCTTTCCTTCGCAACCAGGTTCAGGGCCTGTTCCTCTCAACTAGGATAGGATACCCTGTTTAGACCAAGTGCTTCACCTTCCCTGGTTTCAGATAACTGTCGCCAAGGAAGTCTGACGCAGGCGTCACATGCTCAGTAGTTTCAGATTCGCCCATGCCCATGGGTACCTTGATTCTTCCACTCGTCCCAATCATTTGGCCGTATGGAAAACTTCCGAGCCTCTGCGTCCACAGGCAAGTGTAGAGGCTCTACTCCCGGAAACGCCTCCATGGCCATAGTTGGCGGGGTTTTCATGGCTCCAGTCACCTCCAGACAAGCGAGTCTCTGTACCTCGCCCAGCTGCTTCCTGCACGTTGTCCCTTTTTCAAGGTCTGAGTTCCACCAAGGTGTTTCCGCAGTTTGATGCCAGGTTTAGTTGAAAAGGAATGTGCCGTTGGTCCGAAAGGAACGACTCATCATCAGACCACATCCACCACGTGGTCATGTGGGCTATTCAAAAGGATCCCAACGTGAGATCGATAACCTCTTGCCTCTTCGCTGCGACGAAAGTGATTTAAATTATTCAAATCAGTTATTTGCAAGTACCCCAGGAGGTGGTCGCCCCTCGAGTTCGTGACATGGTGCGCGTTTTGCATCAGCCAGCTCCCTAGTAGGTGGAGCCTTTTCTGAGTCGTACAGGAGATCCTGATCTACACCTCTTACACGTCCCTTCTAAACCCAAGGTTCTTGTATGAGACATGAACCTGCAAGTTTACGCCCTATTAAACAGGTCGCCCCCCTTACTGTGTATTTCTGTGGGTGATGGGAATTATGTTCTCCTGGTAGCCAGACAAAATTTTACATGAATTTTCTGATTGGCACTTCGTGTATTAGGAGCTGAAACACCTCCGCGCACATTATAATCTCCTGATATCAAATTGGAAAAGATTTAAAACGAAATTTGATTTCGAAATATTTTTGTGGGTGATGGGAAAAGACCTCCTCAGCCATTATGGTCTCCTGGTAGCCAGACAAATTTTTACATGAATTTTCTGATTGGCACTTCGTGTATTAGGAGCTGAAACACCTCCTCGCACATTATAACCTCCTGATACCAAATTGCAAAAGATTTAAAACTAAATTTGGTTTCGAAATATTTTTGTGCGTGATGGGAAAAGACCTCCTGGACTATTATGTTCTCCTGGTAGCCAGACAAAATTTTACATGAATTTTATGATTGGCACTTCATGTATTAGGAGCTGAAAAACCTCCTCGCACATTATATCCTCCTGATACCAAATTGGAAAAGATTTAAAACGAAATTGGGCTTCGAAATATTTTTGTGGGTGATGGGAAAAGACCTCCTCAGCCATTATGTTCTCCTGGTAGCCATACAAAAATTTACAAGAATTTTCTGATTGGCACTTCGTGTATTAGGGACTGAAACACCTCCTCGCACATTATAACCTCCTGATACCAAATTGGAAAAGATTTAAAGCGAAATTTGGCTTCGAAATATTTTTGTGGGTGATGGGAAAATACCTCCTCAGCCATTATGTTCTCCTGGTAGGCAGACAAAAATTTACAAGAATTTTCTGATTGGCACTTCGTGTATTAGGGGCTGAAACACCTCCTCGCACATTATAACCTCCTGATACCAAATCGCAAAAGATTTAAAACGAAACCCTCGACTATTATGTTCTCCTGGTAGCCAGACAAAGTTTTACAAGAATATGGCCGTAATACACTTCGACTGAGGCTCAGTGACATTAGTCCTCCTCCAGGTGTCACCCCGCAACAATGGGAACCCTTAGCCCCTCTGCAGCGACTTGCCCACAGGTTCACGGTGCACCAGCAACGTTGAGCTGCCTTGGGTGGTTCCCTTCGATCTGAGGCGCTTGGTCCCTGACGTCGTGTGGCTCCCCTGAACCGCCGGGCTTTGGCGCAGCTTTATTCTCTGGCCGGCGCTTCCTGGTCATCGACTTTAGTGCTTCAGTTCTAATTTTCATGCTCATAGGAGCGGGTCCATCACCAGGTCCTTGAATAAGACGCCGCGTTGGAGTCGTACCTCCACCACAGGGGAGTTATCGCCTTCTATGGGCCCTTTTTTTGCGGAGAATCTAAATGTGTTATCAGAACTTCCATAACACGCTAGAGGTAGAAGCTACAGACTATTACTTTCTTATTTCTTATGGACGCCATATTGGATTTTTTATGGAATGAGATAGAGGATTCAGCAAGATCCAGTTATCCGTGGGTGATTTGTAGAGAAATGACTGTTATGTAAAAGTATGGAGTGTGACACGTAATTATTTTTCTTTCTTTGCCCTTTATCTCATTCCGTAAAAACCCCCTGATTACGTTCTCTCTCATCAATTCCGAAGAAAGATGATTTCTCTTGCGGGGTATAGAATACCCCTAGGTACTTAAGAGGGTTTCTAACGATTTGAGGGATGCGGTAAGGTACTAGTGAATTTTCCTTTCCGAGGGGTATTCCATCCTACCCTTCTCTCTGGATTACTGTTTCTGTCGTCAATTCTGAAAAAAAGGCTATTGCATCTTTCTTTTTTTTTCCCAGCGTCACATTTTCTATCAAAACGTGTACACTTCATTTTAAGAGATAGGGAAAAATGGACCTAAGTGCCCGGGGCCCAATTTTAAAGAGCAAATCACTGGCGCAAACATAATTCAACTATCATTAATCGGTTGGTCGCTAGAGGGCGCTTCTCGAATTTAGTCGATTTCCTTAATATTCTTCTTATTATTAAAGATAAATAATTTTGGTAAAATCTTTCTTAGAGCATTTTTTTGCGACATAGTTTATACAGGGTGTTTGGTTTTTCCTATACGACCCTAAACTATATTTTTTATATGGATCAATCTATATATTTTGAAGTTTTTGAAAAGAGCGTAACATTTCTTAAATTTGGACGTACACTTGTTATATTTATATTAAATGTTATTTGCAAATTGCAATATTTATATATTTTAATATTTATTAATATATTTACATTAAAATATTTTTATTGTACACATCCAGATTTCCATGGCGAACAAAAGATGGCGGATTGTGTATTTCTTGGTTATTTGTAAATGTTTATTAGTTTTCAAATATTTTTAATTTCAAATAACACAAAAAAAATCAAAGAACGTTATAACACATGCTAATAAAACAAATGTCATATAATATATAAATAAAATATACAATAACAATCCTGCCATCTTTTGTTTGCCATGGAAACCTAGATGCCTACAATAAAAACATTTTAATGTTTAAAATGGAATATTGCAAACAATATTTAATATAAATATAAGTGATACATCCAAATTTAGGAAATTTTACGCTCTTTTCAAAAACTTTAAAATATATAGGGTGGTCCATATAAAAAAATATAGTTTAGGGTTGTATAAAAAACCCTGTATAAAAACTGTGAATTTCAATGGATTCTAGTTCTACATATAAAGGTACTCTGGAAAATTTTTGCCAAACTCAATTATCTTTAATAAAGGAAGATATGGGGCGACTAAATTCAAGAAACGACCTCCAGCGGCCAAACAATTAGTGATAGCTGTAATTTTGTTTGCCGATTTTCTCTTTAAAATTGAACCCCAGTCACCTAGATCCGTTTTTCTCTTAAAATGAAGGGTGTTTTCGTAAGAAATGTTCCAATTTGGACTTCCCTACACAGTCTTCACTACCCGTATGTTTATTTCCTAGGGAGAACCACCCAATTATATTTTCCTAGGGAGTATTCTCAGAAAGTATCTGCATTTTCCTTTCCTGTGGGTATTCCGTTCTACTCCGGGTCCTGGATTACTGTTTCTGGCATCAATTCTGAAAAAGGCTATTGTATCTGGGGTGGAGGGGGGGTATCCACATTTTCTATCCAAATGTGTATACGGTGGTCCAATTTGGAAACGCCCTTTATTTTAAGAGATAGGAAAAAAATGGTTGGGGCCCAGTTTTAAAGAGAAAATCACTGGCGCAAACAGAATTCAACTATCACCAATCGATTGACCGCTAGAGGGCGTTTTTCGAATTTTCTTAATGACCCATAACTTTCTTATTATTAAAGATAATTGATTTTGGCAAAATCTTTCTTAGAGCACTTTTTTATGGATAATCCATTGCGATATACAGTTTTTATACAGGGTGTTTGGTTTTTCTTATAGGGCGTTAAACTATGTGTTTTTCATATGGACCACCTTATATATTTTATAGTTTTTGGAAAAAGCGTTTTAAAGAATCCTGCCATCTTTTGTTCGTCGTGGAAACCTAGATGTTTACAATAAAATATTCTAAATAATATTTAATATGTATAATAAGTTATACATCAAAATGTAGGAAATTTTACGCTCTTTTCAAACGCCCTGTATAAAAACTGTGTATCCCAGGTTCCTAGGTTCATTTTTTCCTATCTCTTAAAATAAAGTATGTTTCCGTAAGAAAGTGTCCAATTTGGACCACCAAATTATATTTTCCTAGGGAGTATTCTCAGAAAGTATCTCGCTTTGGTCAAGAACGTAGTATCGGGGCGGTGTAGGGGTAAATAAGAAGGGTTTTTAACGATCAGGGAGATCTTTATCGATGGGTCGGCAAGGTACCAGTGAATTTTCTTTTCCTAGGGGAATATTCCATCCTGCCCCGCCCCTTAACTATTGCATCCTTACCCCAGAAATGAAAATTGAGCTTGCCCTTACTCTCGAATTGATCTTTCGTGTCAGGTTTGGATCCACTATGAATGTGAGCTTGACACTGACTTTTTGTTCGCCCGTCTGTTTTTGTGACCCGTTGTCCATATTAGTTTGAAACAGTTTATTGAGATTCGATCTTCTGCGGGGGGCCCAAATTTGAGTCTCATCGTCTGATGAGTAAGAGTAGAACTCGAGTTTGAGTTTACTTCAAATCTTTATAGAGTTTGAGCTCGATACTGAGCCCAAAGATAGATTCGACCTTCTGCGGGGGGCCCAAATTAGAGTCTCATCGTCTGCAGAGTAAGAGTAGAACTCGAGTTTGAGTTTACCCTCAAGTCTTTATAGAGTTTGAGCTTGATATTGAGCTCAAAGAGAGATTCGATCTTCTGCGGGGGTCCCAAATTTGAGTCTCATCGTCTGATGAGTAAGAGTAGAACTCGAGTTTGAGTTTACTCTCAAGTCTTTATAGAGTTTGATTTCGATATTGAGCTCAAATAGGAATTTGATCTTCTGCGGGAGGCCCAAATTTGAGTCTCATCGTCTGATGAGTAAGAGTAGAACTCGAGTTTGAGTTTACTCTCAAGTCTTTGTAGAGTTTGAGCCCGATATTGAGCTCAAAGAGAGATTCTATTCTTCTGCGGGGGGCCCAAATTTGAGTCTCATCGTCTGAAGAGTAAGAGTAGAACTCGAGTTTGAGTTTACCCTCAAGTCTTTATAGAGTTTGAGCCCGATATTGAGCTCAAAGGGAGATTCGATTTTCTGCGGGGGGCCCAAATTTGAGTCTCATCGTCTGAAGAGTAAGAGTAGAACTCGAGTTTGAGTTTACCCTCAAGTCTTTATAGAGTTTGAGCTTGATATTGAGCTCAAAGAGAGATTCGATCTTCTGCGGGGGTCCCAAATTTGAGTCTCATCGTCTGATGAGTAAGAGTAGAACTCGAGTTTGAGTTTACCCTCAAGTCTTTATAGAGTTTGAGGTCGATATTGAGCTCAAAGAGAGATTCGATCTTCTGCGGGGGTCCCAAATTTGAGTCTCATCGTCTGATGAGTAAGAGTAGAACTCGAGTTTGAGTTTACCCTCAAGTCTTTATAGAGTTTGAGGTCGATATTGAGCTCAAAGAGAGATTCGATCTTCTGCGGGGGGCCTAAATTTGAGTCTCATCGTCTGATGAGTAAGAGTAGAACTCGAGTTTGAGTTTACCCTCAAGTCTTTATAAGTTTGAGGTCAGATGATTGAGCTTCAAAGAGAGATTCGATCTTCTGCGGGGGGCCTAAATTTGAGTCTCATCGTCTGATGAGTAAGAGTAGAACTCGAGTTTGAGTTTACTCTCAAGTCTTTATAGAGTTTGATTTCGATATTGAGCTCAAATAGGAATTTGATCTTCTGCGGGAGGCCCAAATTTGAGTCTCATCGTCTGAAGAGTAAGAGTAGAACTCGAGTTTGAGTTTACTCTCAAGTCTTTATAGAGTTTGATTTCGATATTGAGCTCAAATAGGAATTTGATCTTCTGCGGGAGGCCCAAATTTGAGTCTCATCGTCTGATGAGTAAGAGTAGAACTCGAGTTTGGGTTTACCCTCAAGTCTTTATAGAGTTTGAGCTTGATATTGAGCTCAAAGAGAGATTCGATCTTCTGCGGGGGTCCCAAATTTGAGTCTCATCGTCTGATGAGTAAGAGTAGAACTCGAGTTTGAGTTTACTTCAAATCTTTATAGAGTTTGAGCTCGATACTGAGCCCAAAGATAGATTCGACCTTCTGCGGGGGGCCCAAATTAGAGTCTCATCGTCTGCAGAGTAAGAGTAGAACTCGAGTTTGAGTTTACCCTCAAGTCTTTATAGAGTTTGAGCTTGATATTGAGCTCAAAGAGAGATTCGATCTTCTGCGGGGGTCCCAAATTTGAGTCTCATCGTCTGATGAGTAAGAGTAGAACTCGAGTTTGAGTTTACTCTCAAGTCTTTATAGAGTTTGATTTCGATATTGAGCTCAAATAGGAATTTGATCTTCTGCGGGAGGCCCAAATTTGAGTCTCATCGTCTGATGAGTAAGAGTAGAACTCGAGTTTGAGTTTACTCTCAAGTCTTTGTAGAGTTTGAGCCCGATATTGAGCTCAAAGAGAGATTCTATTCTTCTGCGGGGGGCCCAAATTTGAGTCTCATCGTCTGAAGAGTAAGAGTAGAACTCGAGTTTGAGTTTACTCTCAAGTCTTTATAGAGTTTGATTTCGATATTGAGCTCAAATAGGAATTTGATCTTCTGCGGGAGGCCCAAATTTGAGTCTCATCGTCTGAAGAGTAAGAGTAGAACTCGAGTTTGAGTTTACTCTCAAGTCTTTATAGAGTTTGATTTCGATATTGAGCTCAAATAGGAATTTGATCTTCTGCGGGAGGCCCAAATTTGAGTCTCATCGTCTGATGAGTAAGAGTAGAACTCGAGTTTGGGTTTACCCTCAAGTCTTTATAGAGTTTGAGCTTGATATTGAGCTCAAAGAGAGATTCGATCTTCTGCGGGGGTCCCAAATTTGAGTCTCATCGTCTGATGAGTAAGAGTAGAACTCGAGTTTGAGTTTACCCTCAAGTCTTTATAGAGTTTGAGGTCGATATTGAGCTCAAAGAGAGATTCGATCTTCTGCGGGGGGCCTAAATTTGAGTCTCATCGTCTGATGAGTAAGAGTAGAACTCGAGTTTGAGTTTACCCTCAAGTCTTTATAGAGTTTGAGGTCGATATTGACCTCAAAGAGAGATTCGATCTTCTGCGGGGGGGCTAAATTTGAGTCTCATCGTCTGATGAGTAAGAGTAGAACTCGAGTTTGAGTTTACTCTCAAGTCTTTGTAGAGTTAGAGCTCGATAATGAGCTCAAATAGAGATTCGATCTTCTGCGGGGGGCCCAGATTTGAGTCTCATCGTCTGAATAGTAAGAGTAGAACTCGAGTTTGAATTTACTCTCAAGTCTTTATAGAGTTTGAGCGCGATATTGAGCTCAAAGAGAGATTCTATCTTCTGCGGGGGGCCCAAATTTGAGTCTCATCGTCGGATGAGTTTACTCTCAAGTCTTTATAGAGTTCGAGGTCGATATTGAGCTCAAAGAGAGATTCGATCTTCTGCGGGGGCTCAAATTTGAGTCTCATCGTCTGATGAGTAAGAGTAGAACTCGAGTTTGAGTGTACTTCAAGTCTTTATAGAGTTTGAGCTCAATACTGAGCCCAAAGAGAGATTCGATCTTCTGCGGGGGGCCCAAATTTGAGTCTCATCGTCTGAAGAGTAAGAGTAGAACTCGAGTTTGAGTTTACTCTCAAGTCTTTATAGAGTTTGAGCTCGATATTGAGCATATTGCGTTTGTGTCGAGACCGATCTCAGGTATCTCCTGACTTCGGGCTCCACGTCCACGAAACAAAAACGTGGACTTCGCCGGTTTCCACGTAATCTCCGATATGGAGCGCATAAGTTCTGGGCCAAGCTTGATTGCAATGATGATATCGTAATTTTCTGCTAATGCAAGTGTATAACAAAATAAGTTCGATTAATAACGTTATGGCGTACATTTCGTAAGTAAATAAAACAGTCGATAAGAGTACATAATATGCACGTGGAGATTGATAAGAAAAGGCAAGCTGTCAATTTTCGGACAATTTTAGGATCAATCCCATAGAGATAAGCGACTGACACGACTATTTTTATGTTTGTTTGTATGACTTTTTTAGGTCATTTTTGAGTTCTTCTCTCCAATGTCAATATCCCAAAGCTCGTTTCTATACTTCAAGGAGGAATTGAGACAAAGTAATTACAATGTTAGGGTGCACTTTCAGTAACCCAAAACGTTGTTTGCGTTAGACGGCGAACGGTCAAAGTCTCCGCGTATTTTCTGCTGGCGTTGCGTCGGGCCGTCGGTGACGGGGCCAAATTTCGAGCGTGGCCGAAAAAGTTCAGAAACCTCCACTGAGCGCGCACGATCTGCAGATCGCACGTGTTTCGTATTTTTAGCAACAAAGAGGGACAGTGCATTGACTTCCTCTTGTCAGTGCGATGATGAAAAATTGACGACGTCTGTTTTGCAGGTGCCATTCGCGGAAATAACGACGACCGGCGCGAAGCGAAGGGCCAGAAGGAACATGGCGCTATTCTGTGACGACAAAATGAACGAGCCGCTGTGCTGCCGCTACCCTTTGACTGTCAACTTCTACGAGCTCGGCATGGAGTTCGTGATCGCCCCCAAGAGCTACGAGGCGAACTACTGCGCGGGCGAGTGTCCCCCCGTCACGCTGCAGGACTACCCTCACACCCATCTCCGGCAAATGGCGTCGCCGAACAGTATTGCGCCCTGCTGCACGCCGCGGAAAGTGAGCGCCATCTCGATGCTTTACTATGACAATTACGACAATGTTATTTACGGAAGCCTCTCGGGGATGGTTGTGGACAGATGTGGCTGTTTGTAAACGGCGACCAAAAACTTGAAACTGTGTAAAATAATGTGATATAATTTTTAGATGTATAATATTTATTTTTTTGTAAATCTCGATAAGGTTAATCATAAGCGCGCGGATATATTTTCGATAATTTTTTAGTGATTCGACTAGTGATAACAAAATTATGCCCCCCCCCCCTTAGTGTTGTAGTTTACTTAAAGAGAAACGCGTGATAATATTGAGACATGGCCTTAGAAATAATTAAATTTGACACATTCTTCATGTGATAAAATTCTGCGACTGTCCCGAGCCGAACACCTCTCCCGACGTTCGGCGAAAGTGTTCGGCTCAAAAATGGCGACCATATTGTATTAAATAATTTGTACATACCGCAGACTATTGTCTGTAGATCTCTCGAGGGAGAATTCCGTCTTTGCATTTTTTTGTGTAAATATAGTTTTAGGACGAAAAATACGGAGTGGTATTATTTATAAAGTTTGTATGATAATTAGAAATATTTGTAAATTTTGCCATAGCTCTCGCTTTTTGTAATTGTGTACCTTTGTATGATAGTAACACATACGCACTCAATTTCGAAACAAAAAACCGTAGAATTCAAGCAGTCCTTGGTTTCTTATTAACATAAAATCTATGTAGGCGTAGATGATATCACAATCAATTGTTTATGTATGTAAATTACTATGACCATTTCTCAAAATAAAAATGCACCTAAATTTAAGCGCCTTTTCTTGTACCACAAACTCAAAATCGCCTCAAACCTGGAACTTCGCTACGAGAATGGCGGGAAGGTTAATCAATAATGTTATTTATCGCTACTAATTGACCTTAAAAGCACAGGTTACTGGAATGTGATTCAATTGTTCTATTTAAGGAAAGGTAGGAAGTGTTCCGTTATCAACTCCATCGGAGATCGCATCCGTCCAAAATCCAAAATCAGGTAGGCAACGCAAACTAAAAAAAATATCTTACATTTGGAATTGAGGAAGGAATAGGTTCTGAAAAGCGACAACAAAAGTCAATGCTCAAATCAAAAATTGTTGCCCTACACTTGACCCTCAAGGGTCAGTTATTAAATGGACTCCTCCATATGAAGAACAATTTATATACATCATCCCTGCTAGTTTCCGCAATATTCGACTGGGACACCCTGTATATAAATTAATATAAGTAACATTCAAATGTAAGATTACGGAACTGGTAGTCGGAAAATTTCCCGCAAGTTACAAAAGAAATGACCGCTATACCTTAATTCGTCTGATGCAGGTGCAGTTAAACCCCTATAAATCATCCCCTGAAACTGGTATCCTTTACTCTTTATTAAATTACAAATTCTAATTAGCTCGCGATAGTCGATAATTGTTTTTTGATACGGTCTCTCGTAAATACCTACCTCAGGGCGGCCAAAATTGTTGCAACTTCCGCGCTTTTTTTTACTCTTGTTTGTGTTTATCACTAATAATTCATTTATTGCCAGCTATAGTCGTTGCTCCCGGTTAATACTTGTATTTGAATGGGTAATCACTCAAAAACTTCGCCCGTTCATAAAAAATACTAATTGAAAAACAGTTGTATGACGTCACGGCGATAAAAACTCACATTTAAAAACGTTTTTCACAGTTTTACATCCTTTATCACTAATGTGCACTTATGGCTGGCAAAAGTTTAACGAATTCATAGACAAGATATTTTAGTTTTTTAACTTTCACGTTTTTTTTTCTGGCCGCACACACAAAAATAAGGTTTTTCGAAAAAAAAATCGATGTCGCTGCTGCACTCCAAAACTTTTTTTCAAAAATCTGTCTTTTGTCTTAGCGTACTTTCCATAGATTGATCAGAACTTCCCGAAAGGTTACACAAAGGACTATTTATGTGTACAAAAGAGGTCTTATGTTGTATACGAAACTCCATTCTGCAGATATTTGCACTGAAAGCTTTAACATAACCAGTAGATATGTCTCGCTCCACTTGCGTTTTATGAGCACCCTCCTCCGACACTTCATTGTCAAAGTATTTGCTTCGACTTCACCATTAGATATACTCTCGTTCGATCGATTCATTTTGCGTTTGAGAGTCCGACAAACCGTTTTCCCAATTGCCCTTTGTGAGTACCCTCTTCCGACAATCCGTTCTGGAGATATAAGTGAATATATTCGATCACGATAAGAGGTCGAAGAGGAGGACTACGGTTGATAGAAATTAATTCCTTTCGTTGATACCTTTCATGAGAGTACCATGAAGGATAAAACCGGCCCCCCCACCCCCTACCCCACCCTTCAACCGCCTCTTTTGATAACGGGTCACAAAAAGGCGGTAGTTGGTAGAAAACTGTTCTTTCCTTTAGACGTTTAATTCGAATACTATGAAGAATAGGACGTGTGCCCCCCCACCCCTTTAAAAGTTTCACTTGGCACCACTAATGGCATGCGTATGCAAAATCTGAGACCAATAAATTGGTTATCGTATGTAAAATCTATGCACGTTTTACTTTCAAAAACAGCATCTCAGGAAATAATTCGTGGGGGTAGGGGGCTCTGGAGATATAATTGAATATATCCTCACTATAAGCGATGGAAAGAAGACCCTGGTCGGTAGAAATTAATTCCTTTCGTTTAGACCTTTTATTAGACTACCGTGAAGCGTAAAACGAGTGCTACTCCCCCTCCCCCCAAAAACTCCCTCCTTTTGATAAGGGGTCAGAAAGAAGGGTTGTAGTTGCTAAAATACGGTTCCTTTCGTTGAGACCTTTCATTAGAATACCATGAAAGATAAAACTATTAATTAATCCCTCCCCCCGGCCCCTTAACAACTGATCTTGAAAAATGGTCGTGCGGGAAATTTATACTTTGTACAAACCAATTTATTTCGATGAAACCTTTCATTAGAATACCATGAACGGTAGAATGTGCCCCCCCTCCCCCTCACCATTTTGAAACGTTTTACTAGGCACCACAAAAGGCATGCGTATGCAACATCTGAGACCAATTGGTTGTCTTTGTCCCTTAAGACAGCGAAATTTGATGGCGGTCTGGCACACCTTCAAGGTATAGGCTACCTATTGCAAAAGATTCCAGGACTCTAGGACCATTCCCCTAGAAGTAAGTTCAAAACGATAGAAGTGGGCCCGGACGGACGGACGAACTAACATTGTGCAGATAAAGCGCATTTTTTTAGTGGATGCTGGAGTGGTATGAAAAATTCTAAAGGATTAACTACACAAATTTTGATTTGCCCCTGAAAATAATTTTGGGCACCAAGAGAAGAAAAATCTAACATAAAAACTCTATTTGGGTCGCACAATGGATTCGAATAAACACAATTAATCGATTGACAAGGACACATGACAACAACAAAAGTTCCGAAAGAAAAAAAAGCTTACAAAGCCTGTTTGGAAAATTTACCCCGCGCACATGCGGTCTACAAATAAAATAAGAAAATTTTTAAATTACTTTTTCTCTTCAATAATCCTAATAATCTGATCGTAGGGTTGTAAGGTGCACTTAACTTCACACATAAACGCTGACGTCTTCTGAACTCCCCTTTTCAAAAGTTGAACACACAAAACTTGATCACGAACAACATTAATGAATAAAATGGCGAATTGTCAGTAGCTGTTCAGAAGAATAACAAGTTAACAGTATCAGAAAAACTTGCTTCTTGCTTTTTCAACTTGACCTACTTCGTCCATAAAATGGGCGTTGCTCTCCTGCAACTTTAGTTAAATTGCTTATGAACAACATGATTATAATACTGACAAACTACGTCTTCAACTAATCAAGTCAAGCGAACTACCCGCATAAAAGTAGCGTAAAGCTCTCCAACCGTCGCGAACCAGCCTCGTTGATTCCAGTATTTAAAGGAACGCCACTTCCTCAAGATCACCAAAAACACCGCCACCCTCAATACGACTTGATAACGCCAACTTCGAAGGAGAGCGCACGTCATAACATCCGCATCTCCGTTATCTCTTCTAACTTCTTATCGCAAACGACCAGGAGTTCTCGCACTTGCAATTTCAAAGTTTTACAATTAAATACAATTAAACAATTTGCAATAACGAAAAACTTTAAACAAAAAAGATGCATATAATTACAAACAATTCTAAGAGGAACGATTACACTGAAACACAGATTCAAGTAAAATAAACCAACTATGTTTATTCGTAAATAATTCCCCAGGTTTACACTTAGTAAATGGAAATATTCTCACATACAGGGGGTTCCGTCATTATTTTTGATGTTTAGACCGAAATTACGTCTACATGGCGTTGTTCATGCCACAAAATGTAGGTTAGATTAGATTTGTATAATATACAGGGTGTTAGATAGGTATGTAAAAAAATTTTGGTGGTGGAGGGGGTCACTTTTTCCCAAGTAATTCGAGGGTCCAAAGTGTTTCGTTTGGGAACTAGGTACCCCTACAGAAGTGGTGAAATTTGCATTTTTTCTTTAATTATTTTCTCAGCAACTATAAGAGTTAGTAAAACTAGTGGCAAGTCTTTGAATAGGTTTTTAGGTATGCGGTTTTTGATTTTGCAAAATTTTTTTTCAAAATTCTTACCACGAAAGGGCGCACCCGACATACACATACGTTACCACTACATAAACAATACATAACAGGTGAAGAGGATATCATAATCGATCGCCTAAGGTGAGCAATTAGCTTAAAGTTTCCCGTCTTTGGCCCCTTCCCGTTGCAATTCCAATTGGATCTGAAGTTCTCGCACCATGTTCTACAAACATGCGCTATTCCAAGGGCGTCCTCAAATAAACCCTAGCCATCTTGACAGTCTTCAGTTGACCTTCTGATTGTGGTGTGACCATAGAAAAACAAGGTCATTATGTTTAAAGATGTAATGATAGATTATGGAAGATCGTAGCTAATTATACACTTTGTAAATATAGATTAGGTTTCTCCAAGAGAAAGGTTAATGAATAAATAATTTCTTTCGAAAAGTGTTTTCGAAAAGATTTTCAATTTTCCAAGTACTTTTATTCGGGAATATTCCCGAACAAAACACATCATATTTTCCGGAAAGAATGCGCCACATATCCGCCTTCGTTTCTTGTCGTCGTCGGCGGTGACTAATCTTTTATGGCGCTTCGATGTCCAATTGGATTTTCTAGAATTTGGGGGAAAAAGTAATGGACGAAGAAACAAAAGAGATAATGGAAGTGGAAAGAGAGTGTAGTAAGGCACAAAGAAAAACCGGAGAGGTGGAGAAAACAGACCATAGAAACGGGAGGGGGGAAATAAGTGAGGTACAGAAACGTAATGGCGGAAGACGAGGAAAATAGTTCGAGTAACGAACAAAAAGGAGTGATGATAAGAGATATCAAGTATAGGTATGTACATAATATATGGAGCAAGGGACGATATTTGGAGGGAAAAGAAAACGAGAGAGAAATAAGAATAAGTAGGAAGTGACGAAAATAGACTCTAATAAATGAGAAAGGGGTACATAGGGAGAGCAACGATGTGCCGGGAATAGAAACTAAAAAGGGAGGAGGACAGAAGCGGATATGGCGAGGTTTAGGGGAGATCAGAAATGTGACGAGAAAGGAAACTAGATGGGGCGAATAAGTGAAGGAGGATACAGGAAAGTAATGGAAGAAAACAAACGGACTAACAAAGTGAAAACAAAAAGCCAAAAGAGGACAGAACAAGGTACGAGGTTGAAATGGCATAAGTAAGGGCAGAGGAGACTGGGGAAAAGAGAGA